AGCAGAGGGGCACAGGCCAACGCGCGGGGGCTCGGGCCCAGTGCGGGGGCTTGGAGTGGAGGGGTGCGGGCCAACGTGCGGTGTCCCCCGGTCTGTGGTAGCGCAGGAGGGTACAGGTAAGAAGTGTGATGTGGTTTAGGGTGTGGAAGAGAGGAAGAGGAATGACTGCTGCCATCAGGAGATCGCTGGTGGCTGTGGGCAGACCGTGCAGACGCGATCTCGGACACCAAAGGTTGACAAAACCAAACAGCAGTCAGGGTTGTGGGTCATGGCTGGCGTGTGTTGTACACGAGATGCGGAAGGGAGATAGGGTGTGCTGCAGGGAAGGACTGAACCACTCTGACGCGGTGGACTTGGACTGGAGCAGAACTGAAACGGTGTGGGAGAGCTGTGTTGGGAGGAGGTGTCTGGATAGCCCTGTGCAGTCTCGTGACTTATACCACTGCTGTTGCTTTTTTAAAGGGTTTTGTGAAGCTTTAAAAATAGGAGTACAAACAAAATAGGAGGGGGGAGGGAGCAGCCAGCTCCTCAATCTTCGACTTTCTAATTGTTAGTGCCTGCCGGGGCCGGTGTGAACACAAAGGAGATGTGGAGCTGGCAGGGTGCTTCTGTGCAACCCATGGTGGAGTGCGAGATCTCCTAGGAGCTCGCTCCTTCAGCTGTTAAGTGCCTGCTGCTGGGAGCCAGTCAATAGCTTTCCCAGATCCTACCACTAACTGCTAATGGGTATTTTGGCTTGCGGAGCCAAGTGAGGAAGGGAACTGTTGGACAACAAGAAAAAGAGGCAGGCAGCAGGTGTGCCTATGGAAGAACGCGGTAACAGGGCTTTCTTGAGAGTTGAGGCCAGCATAACCTGTCCAGAGCACCCCACAGCGACTGCTTCCCAATGTGCAGCCCTAACCGGATTCCAGGTAATCTTGTGAAGTGGAACTGGGCGAGTGGTGATTGCGTTCAGGGAGTTACACACCTGCTTCACCTAATACTTCCCACTCTTTAAACTACACATTCCTCTCCTGTGCTCTCCTTCTCGGGCATGCCATGCCCCCTGGTGCTGGAAGGAAGAAGCTCTGGCATCTTTGGTGCGAGATAGGATAACTCTCAGGTGCAGTCCTGCTGGTGTGGGGCTTGGGGGGCTCTCCCGAGGGGGTTGGAGAGGGTCAGCAGCATCTTTCATTCTGTTCTTTTCCAGGAGGTGAGTGTCGTGACTGCTGAACTTCCTCAGACCCGCTAGCCATGCCAGGGATTGTCGTGTTCCGCCGTCGCTGGTCTGTAGGCAGCGATGACCTGGTTTTGCCAGCCGTCTTCCTCTTCCTCCTGCATACCACCTGGTAAGTGAGAAAGGCAGAACGATGGTTTGAATTCTCCCATGAATTCTTTTTGCTATTCCTGTTTCTTGCAGCTGTAATTCTTCCCGCGCTTATACATGCGTCTGGAAGGTTTGTTTGGGGCATTTCAGACAGGCACCAACATATTTCCAGCTTCTGGTTCTTTGGATAAGTTCTATTCTAAGTTCTAGTTCCAATTCCAAAGAGGGAGCCTGACCAGAGCTTCCTGCATCCTCCAGTGCTACCCAAGGTTATCCACTGGACTCTGGGGCTGTGTTTCTGTAGAGGGGCTCAGGAAAAACAAAAATTGGAGTGGCAAATCCCATGGGGTAATGTGACTTGACACAGATCATCAAAATGTTCTGTCTGGGGTAGCAGGGCCTCTGGATGGCTTGTGGGGAGGAGATGTCCAGACCAAATGAATATTAATTGTAAATAGCTGTGGGACACTGAGGCTCCTCAGTAGTTTTGTGAGGAGAGCTGGTGTGGGATATTACATGCAGCTTTCTTTGGCTTACTGCTGGTAACAAGCTGGTTTGTGACTGGCAGGTTTGTGATCCTCTCTGTGGTGCTCTTTGGGCTGGTGTACAACCCCAACGAGACCTGCTCGCTTAACCTGGTGGACCACGGCAGAGGCTACCTGGGCATCCTGCTCAGTTGTATGATCGCAGAGGTGGCAATCATCTGGCTCAGCATGCGAGGCAGTATCCTGTACACAGAGCCGCGGGACTCGATGCAGTATGTGCTCTATGTCAGACTGGGTAAGAGGCAGCGGCCTGAGGCCTCCTAATGACTCAGCCTCCACACTGCCATCTGCTATCGCAAAAGACTTCTCTCCCCACACCCTGACAAACACACAGCTTCTGAAAGACATCCAGATGGCCACTTGTATGTGATATGCATCTGAATACATCACATCTACGGCACCCTGTCATTGCTGTAAGACTTCCATGCAATGCCCCAAATATCTTTCTAGCAAACCTTTAACTTGTCATCCTCATTGCGATGCAGGTACATCCTTTTCCTCTAACAAAATATGCTCCCCTTCTGTCTCGCAACACAGATCTGCCACAGTGAGATGCATCTACACCTCTCCCCCACCTTTTTTTCCACACGTTTTCCTGTGATACAGGCATATGTCTGTGTAAATCATGGTGGTTCTGACCCCGAGGCATGTGCGTGTCCTTGCCTGTCATACGGACACTTCAGTCTACACCCACCTACCTTGAGACGTACACTTGACCTCTTGACTCACATGTGATGCATCCCTCCGTCCAGCAGCCTGCACTTTGGTACTCCACCTCCAGGCACCAGGAGATAAATAGGTTTACCACCTGCTCGCTGGTTGCATCCTCTCTCTTAGAGTGCATATTTGCCTTCCTAAAAACATTTCCTGTCTCGCTCACCCACCAAGAACTAGACCAGCAAAGAGATTGTTCCTTGATCTCTCATCCAGGGCTTCCCTTTGAACTTGTCTTCCCTCCTCTGTTCAATTGTCTTCCAGTTGCACAAACTCGATCAGATTTTTTTTTTCTGTGCTGAGTGAAGATTTCAAGAGAAAAATCTTTTGGAGGTGCAGAGTCAAGCTCACTCTAAACAAAGCCTCTCACGGTTTTGCATCTCTGGTTTTGCTGGATTGTTCTCATGCAGAATTGGCTAAAATCGGGGTAACCTTGCGTGAAAGCTCTGTCTGGGAGACATTTCCACCTTTGAGTGCTAAGTGCAAATCATTAACATGAATAGCAAACAAATCTTTCTCTCCAGTTTCCCAGACATGCTGCAGTCTCCCTAGAGAGCGTGTAGAGCCTGACAGTTTGAGTAACACTGTGTTAAAACCAGACTAAATGGGGCAAGGGAGGTAGGGAGAATCCAAAGAGCCATTTTCCTACCCAAGAATCATCCGGTTTTCTTCCTTGTCTGCCTTAAACTAATGCAGGTGTTCAGGATCTGTATTTATACCCTATCTTGGGTCTCATATAGGCTTGTTTCATGGGGCTTTTTACTCTTAGTGGCTTCATCGGTTCTGATGATAGAAATAGGAGTGTGACCGCTGTGTGGGCAAGGTCCATGTGACTGTCCCATTTTAAGCATGTGCTGTTCAGTGCGTGTGAATCTAGGGA